GAAAATTAAAAAGGAAGAATTTAAGTTGCAAGCATTTGCAGATGATCTGGTTTTTATCTTAGAAGACCCACTAGAAACAGCATCAAAATTGATAGAAAAGATAGAGACATATGGAAAGGTGGCTGGTTTGAAAATAAATAAAGTTAAGACAAAGATCTTGACAAAGAATATGCTATCAGGACAAAAGGAAGAATTGGCAGACCTATTGAAAATTCAGGTCACAAATAAGATCAAGTACTTGGGGATATACTTGACAGCAAGATGCAGTACACTAAAAGAATAATTATATCAAACTTAAACAGCAGATAGCGCTAGATTTGGCGAAATGGGAAAAATTACAACTGTCATTAATAGGGAGAATATCAACAATCAAGATGAATATATTACCCAGAATTTTATATTTGTTTCAAACAATTCCAATTAGGCTTGGAAAAGACTACTTTGAAGATTTAAATAAAATTGTGTTGAAATATATATGGCAAGGTAAGAAAGCGAGAATAAAGTTAAAACTTTTGCAAGATGCTAGAATAAGAGGAGAATTTGGTTTGCCTAATTGGGAGTTGTATTACCAAGCTACAAATTTGATGTATGGATATTTATTAGAAATTAAACTAGAAGAAGAACAAGTTAAAGAAACTATGATTGCTTGGGGGAAGAATTTTGGATATGGGATTGATCCAGAGAAATGGCAAAAATTGTGGTCTCAAAATTATAAAATGACAATATCAATAGCATATAAAGAAAATTTGTATAAGATGTTTTACAGGTGGCACTTTCCCCCGACAAGAATAGCGGGAATGTTCAAGAATAAATCTGAAAAATGTTGGAAATGTCATCAGATATCTGGCTCATATTACCATATGTGGTGGACTTGTGCGGATGCTAAAAAATACTGGACTAAAATCCACACGTGGTTGGAAAAAATGACAAAAAAGCTTATAGATTTGAAACCAGAAATATTTTTATTGGGAATTTTACCTGTAAAATTAAAGTAAATTAAAGTCAAGTAAAGACTTGAAATACCTGATTGTAAAATTTGGGATCTATTCTATCAATGGTTAGACAATAAAATATAGTAATGAAATATGTAGACTTTTAGAAAATAATAAATATATAAAGATGTATTCTTATTATATCTACAAAATGATTCTAGGATAGATCTGGGATGATAATATGAATTGTCATAAAACAAATTAAGTAAAATATGATCATTTTGGGAAACATGAATGAATAAAAGTATAGTCAAATGATTGATTAATAATGATATTAATGTATTTAATATATTGATTGAAAATACGAGATTATATACAATGTAATTATAATTGAAGACTATGAAATGGAAGCACAAAACAATTTGTAAACCAACCGGCACACTGTATGTACATATATGGAAGATGATTTGATGTTTTTATGTTTTGTTTGTTTATGTTTGTTTTAAAAACCAATAAAAATTTATATATATAAAAAATCATTAGGACACAAGTTACAGTCATATAGTTGCAAGTGGGGGGGGATGGGTGATAAGGAGTGATTGAGAAGATTATTAGTAAAAGTAATGCAGACTTTGTAAATAGTTGGACAGTGTGGAGGGAATTATTTGTTTAGCAGAGGGATGGCGTTCGGGGGGAAAACTGTCCTTGTGTCTAGTTGTTCTGGTGTGCAGTGCTCTATAGCATCATTTTGAGAGAAGGAGTTGAAACAGTTTATGTCCGGGATGTGAGGGGTCTGTAGATATTTTCTTTTTGACTCATGCAGTATATAGGTCCTTGATTGAAGGCAGGTTGGTCGTAATTGTTTTTTCTACAGTCCTAATTACTTTCTGAAGTCTGTGTCTGTCCTGTTGGGTTGCAGAATCAAACCAGACAGTGATAGAGGTACAGATGACAGACTCAATTAAACCTCTATAGAACTGGATCAGCAGCTCCTTGGGCAGTTTGAGCTTTCTGAGTTGGCGGAGAAAGAACATTCTTCGTTGTGCTTTTTTGATGACGTTCTTGATGTTTGGTAAGTTATTAACACGGTTGTTAAGTGAATCTGTCTTCCCCATTGACCTGGCTTGTCAGAAGGTTGCAGAGGGAGATCACATGACCAGCAGCAGTCGTAAATATGAACCCGTTGCCAAGCACCTGAATTTTGATCCCGTCATCATGGTTGGGGTCATCAGTGTGGAAAAACGGCTGTAAGTCACTTTTTCCTGTGCCGTTGCAACTTGGAATGGTCACTGAACAAACTTTTTGTCGTAAGTCAAGAACTACCTGTATAGGTGTTGTCAAAAAAGCCTGTCCGGTTTAGTTCACGTTATTCCACCCCCCTGAAACCAAGAGCCAAGGTGTTGAGCTACCTAATTTACACACGTAGGTTTGTAAATACTATACTCAAGTCTTCTGAAATTACTCAAGTCAGAAGTCCTAAGGGTTTTCCTGGGTGCACTTCCTGTCACCTCCCATCCAGTTTCGTGTTTGTTCCTTCACTGAATGCCTTATCCTTTATTTATGGAAACCTGGAAAACATATAAACAAACAACACATTGGCTAAGATTGGCCTGATCTTCAAGGAGACTTGTGCAGCGTTTACACTACCTTAAATATAGAGTTCTTGCTAATTCTCGCTCGCCTTTTGAGAGCATTTTTACATCAGCTGGTTAAAGGCAGGGGTGGGATTCAAAAATCCCCAACAACCGGTTCTCTGCCCAGTTGCTGGGTGGGCGTGGCCTACCGGAACTTCTGGGAGGGCTGTTTTTCCCCTTCCCCAGAGTCCGGAGGCTTCCCTCGGGCCTCTGGGAGGACGAAAATGGCCTCCCTCGGGCTCCGGAGGCCCTCCGGAAGCTGGAAACAGGCCCATTTCTGGACTTCTGGAACTTCCGGGAGGATCCGTTTTTCGCCCTCCCAGAGCCTCTGTCCAGACCCTGCACTTAGCTGCATCCAAAACGGGCTTCATATAGACTCCTGGGAGGGTTGTGTGGGGCCAGCCAGTCGGTTCAACTACTGGCTTGGCGAACCAGATGTAAATTTAACATCCGGTTCGCCTGAATCGGCCCGAACTGGCTGAATCCCACTCCTGGTTAAAGGGAATGAAGCTGGATTGTAAATAGTGTGGCTTTTTCTCCTCTTTAAACGTGCTGGAAGGTCCAAACCCTTGCCCCCTTGCAGCAATACAGGTAGTCCTCGACTTACAACAGTTCATTTAGTGCCCGTTTGAAGTTAACGGCAGTGAAAAAAATGTTACTTACAACCGTTTTTCCACTGTTAGAGCCTTTGCAGCAGCCCCATGGCTGTGTCATCAGAATTCAGATGCTTGGCAGCCATGTCATATTGATGACCGTTGCTATGTCTCTAAGGTCACATGATCCCCTTTTGTGACCTTCAGATAAGCAAAGGCAATGGGGAGGGGGATCTGTTTCACTTAACAACCACGTTACCAACTCAAAAACTGTTGCGATTCGCTTAACAACTGGCATGAAAGCTCGTAAAATGGGGCCAAACTCCCTTAAATGTCTCACTTAAAAGCAGACATTTTGAGATCCACTGCGGTCGTAAGGCAAGGACTAGCTGTATGGCACTGATTTATTTAGCTATCTTTCCAGTAGCTTCCTATTTCACCCCAAGGAGCAGGAGAGTTGCCATCCCTAATCCTAGGATAGTCGCTCTCTCAGCTCTGCCCACCTTACCGGGTTGTTGTTGTGGGGAAAACAGGGGGCCATCACTGAGAAGATTTGTCTCCTGGTGCCATTGTGGGTGCCATTCTCTGAAGGAAAGGATTCTCAGCAAAATTATTTCTTTTATTGGATGGGCAGATTCAGCTTGCAGTAGACAATAATAGATAACCAGGCATTGAGCCTTGAAGAACTTTGAAAGGGACAACTGGGCCTTGAATGTGAACCAAGAAGCCAACTAGTAGCCAGCTTAGCTGCCGAAGTAGCAGTGTCAAATGAACAAACATGAATATTGTGTGAACAGCTTTAGGCCTGACCAGCTGAAGTTTCCTTGAGGCCTTCAAATGAAGTGCCTTGTAGAACAAATTACCTCAGTCCAAACTGGAGCTAGAATAGAATAGAATAGAATAGAATAGAATACTTTTATTGGCCAAGTGTGATTGGACACACAAGGAATTCGTCTCCAGTGCATAAGCTCTCTGTGCATAAAAAAGAAAAGATATATTCATCAAGAGTCAAGAATCATCAGGTACAACACTTAATGATAGTCATAGGGTACAATAGGCAATCAAATCATACTAGGAAACAGTCCATATAAATCGTAAGGATACAACTGACAAAATTACAGTCACAAGTGGGAGGGGATGGGTGATAAGGAGTGATGAGAAAATTAATAGTAATAGTAGTGCAGACTTTGTAAATAGTTGGACAGCGTTGAGGGAATTATTTGTTTAGTAGAGTGATGGCATTCAGGAACAAACTGTCCTTGTGTCTAGTTGTTCTGGTGTGCAGTGCTCTATAGTGTCATTTTGAGGATAGGAGTTGAAACAGTTTATGTCCGGGATGTGAGGGGTCTGTAGATATGTTCATAGCCCTCTTTTTGACTCCTGCAGTATTCAGGTCCTCAATGGAAGGCAGGTTGGTAGCAATTGTTTTCTCTGCAGCCCTAATTATTTTCTGAAGTCTGTGTCTGTCCTGTTGGGCTGCAGAACCGAACCAGACAGTTATAGAGGTGCAGATGACAGACTCAACAATTCCTCTGTAGAACTGGATCAGCAGACTAGGCTTTTGTTGAACATGGATTGCCATAGCATTATCTTATGTCTGGCAACCCTTTTAAGGCTAAATGTAAACTGCGAGGTGTCCTTCAACCAGGTCTGTAGCCTTCTTAACTTTGCATTCCATCTTCTTTACAGGGTGCTGAAGTGCAGATGTAGATTGGGGAGAACTAGGAAGTGTCTTCTTTAGAGACCAAACCCTAGCTTCCTGTTGCCAATGATAGATGTTTGCTGTAAAACCCAGTCAGGAAATAATTTATGTAATTAAAATGTGCTTTCCTCCCTTGCAGTTGAAGTGTGTCGATCTTCTTGAAGCATACATTGAGAGGAACAGGCAGGTGAACCCACTCATCAATGCTATTGTTAAAGACAGGTAAGCTGGAAAAACTTTGACTTTCTGTCCAACAGGTACTGGGCTATTATTTGGGGAAGAAAGAGCAGACAGGTATGGCTTGTTGGAGGAAACTCTTCCCTGTTTCAAATTCTTACTGATTTTTTCCCCCTCTATTGGGGGCTGTGCCTTGAGAATTCTTCTTCCAAGCATCCCCTTTCTAGGGATTTGCTACACAGGCGTAGCAAAAGTAATTTTTTTTGCAACTTTTTCTCCTTCCAAGCCCTTTCTCACCATTTCACTGACCTTGTACAATGCTGAATTCAAGATAAGAAGATAGGAGCTGCTTACTGGACAAGGGGAGGAGGAAGGCTCCCGTTGGGTGTTTCCAAGATAAGAAGAGTCTGCTCAACAATTTTGATCTGAAGCATCTCACAATCAAAACCGTCCTCCTTTTGAATAATTTCCCATCAATTTCTCATGCACTTGACCTATTTTCGGCAGCCTTGTTTATAGATAGAAGTAGGATTTCCATATCTGGGTTGCAGAATTCCACCGTTGATTAAGGGAGATGGGGAAGGATTTAACTACTTAGCTGTCATCTTGTGGTCATTCAGATTTTTATATGTTTTAGCCTCCCTAATCCTCTTCGTTGCTCTTCTCTGCACTCTTTCTAGAGCAAGGGTCTTCAAACTTGGCAAGTTTAAGGCTTGTGGACTTCAACTCCCAGAATTCCTGAGCTAACATGACTGGAGGAGGAATTATGGGAGTTGAAGTCCACAAGTCTTAAAGCTGTCAAGTTTGAAGACCCCTGGAATAGAGAAAACGAGGGAGAATAGATAAAGAGAGTTAGATAGAAGGGGGGGCAGAGAGCGAGGGAGAGAGCGAGGGAGGATAGAGATAGATAGATAGATAGATAGATAGATAGATAGATAGATAGATAGATAGAGTCTTCAAACTTGGCAATTTAAGACTGGTGGACTTCAACTCCCAGAATTCCTGAGCTAACATGACTGGAGGAGGAATTCTGGGAGTTGAAGTCCACAAGTCTTAAAGCTGTCAAGTTTGAAGACCCCTGGAATAGAGAAAAAGAGGTAGAATAGATAAAGAGAGTTAGATAGAAGGGGGGGCAGAGAGAGAGAGGGAGGGAGGATATATATATAGATAGATGGATAGAGTCTTCAAACTTGGCAAGTTTAAGACTTGTGGACTTCAACTCCCAGAATTCATGAGCTAACATGACTGGAGGTGGAATTCTGGGAGTTGAAGTCCACAAGTCTTAAAGCTGTCAAGTTTGAAGAGCCCTGTTCAAGAGTCTCAACATCTTTTTTTCCATCGTGGCGACCAAAACTGGGTGCAGAATTCCAAGTGTGGCCTTCTTTTCTTTGAACTAGATGTACCCAATTCCAGCAACTGTTCTTTATATGTTTTAGCCTCCAGTCCCCTAAAACATCAGCTAGAGATCTCTGTTTTTTTACCTCCCCGCTCTTTCCTCACCCATCTGCTCAGGTTTGAGGCTGCCTTGCAGGAGGCTCAGGTTGTTGATCAGCTGCTGTCTGAGGGCCAGGATGATGAAGAATCACTCCAGAAAAAATTCCCCTTGCTGGGCATTCCTGTCACTGTCAAAGAAGCCTTTGCGTTATATGGTGAGTAGCTGGATTTGGGGTTGTTTCTTTCCACTGTTTTTTGACTTCAGTCTTCGACCTAAGGTGTGATAGAATGTAGTTCAGGTTTGCAGGGTGTGTGTGTGTGTGTGTGTGTGTGTGTGTGTGTGTGACTTTCCCAGGGAGCAAAGAGACAACAAAGTTTGGAATTTGGGGTATGCAGAAAAAGCAGTTCACAGGATACATCTAATAATTTTGCAGTTAAATGCTCTAGTCTGCAAGATTTTTGTCTACAGGAAAACGACATTTAAAAAAAGCTACTCGGAAGTACATTAAAAAGAAAAACCACCACCACCACAACACATATACACCTAGTATTCCCCCCTAGCTGAATACTGATTAATACATTACTGCATTTGTATTTTCCTTTTTAATGCACCTTTTCTAATGTCTTGCTTGTTTTGTGTTTTTGCTTAATTTTGGGGAGGAGTTTCATATTTTAGATGATTGTACAGCATCCGAATTCATAGAATAGAATAGAAGCTGGAAGGGACCTTGGCCAAATTCCCCCTGCACTGCACATGCGTGCACCTCCCAGCTGATTTTCGGCCCGTTTGAGGCCGTTTTCGCCCTCCTGGAGGCTCGAGGGAAGCCTCTGCAGCCTCGGGAGGCCGAAAAACTGGGCCTTCCAGAAGTGCCGAAATGGGTCCGTTGTCTGAGATATTCCAGCTGCAGTTAATTGGTTCTCGTGATTAATGAAATGTAAGAAGTGGGAGGGGAGAAGGTGGATTTTGTGAAACGCGCTGAAAATGATTTTTCAGTTTGGACATTTAATAGAAGTACCAGAGCTGTTCCTAATAAATCAGTTGGAGATTATACTTGTCTCGGAGTGATGGATTACCATGGACAATTTGGGATGCCTAACATCCGTTTTCAGCCCCTCGAGGCTGCAGAGGCTTCCCTAGAGCTTCCAGGAGGGCGAAAACGGCCTCAAACGGGCTGAAAACCGGCTGGGAGGCGCGTGCATGCGCAGTGTAGGTAAGGAGCGGAGCAGGGGTGTTGCGGGCAGGGGAGCAGGGCACATTGCATTGTGGGTGCCGGCACACACGCATGCTATTGCGCGCATGCATGCTTTTGGCACACCACAACAAAAACTTCGCCATCACTGACCTATATACCATTTCAGACAAATCGTTGTCCCGTCTCTTTTTAAAAGCCTCCAGTGATGAAGCCCTACAACTTCTGGTGGCAAGCTGTTCCACTGGTTCATTGTCTGCACTTTTAGGAAGTTTCTCCTTAATTCCGGGTTGCTTCTCTCCTCGATTAGTTTCCACACATTGTTTCTTGTCTTGCCTTTTGGAACTTTGAAAAGAATTTGACACCCCTCTTCTTTGTGGCAGCCCCTCAAATACTGGAATACTGCTATCATGTCACTCCTAGCCCTTCTTTTCTCTAGACTAGCCAAACCCCAAACCCTTCTCCTGAAGTTGTCCCTGTCCATCCTCTCTTTCTTCCCTGGTGCTTTTTTCTTGGAACATTAGCACATCCTTCTCTTTTTCCAAAAGGCTTAGGGGGTGCTCAGCACAAAAACTGCCTGCCTGCCTTGTTAATGTTTGGATGCTGTTCCACTGCTAACGTTGAGAACCAACAAAAAGAAAACCCTAACCCCAGAGGATTAGAAACAAGGATGGACCAAATTCCAGTGCAATACCATTCACCAGCTGACATCAGAATAATCTTCTCTTTCTCCTTATTCTTATTATTTGATAACTCTCTAGTATTTCTAGAAAGAATTTCTAGCAGGACTACCAGATTCTGTAACAGCTTTGTTGCTTATGCCATCCGCCTGGTAAACTCGCAAGATTAATTCTTCTCTCCATCAGTGGTGGGATTCAAAAATTTTTACTACCATTTCCGTGGGCATGGTTTGGTGGGCGTGGCAGTGGAAGGATTCTATAAAATCCCCATTCCCTCCCCACCTCACTAACCTGCTTTCCAGCTCCGTTCTCCTGTGCAGGGCAACCAAAGAAGACCCAGCCGATCAGCTGGGACTTGGGAGGCAGAGAATAGGTGGAAGCCCTTGCTTATCAATGGAGACTGTGTGGAGCAAGTGGCCAGTTTTTAGTTTCTGGGTGTTACCCTAAAAGAGGACCTGACCTGGGGTGCTCACATTGCAGCAGTGGTCAAAAGGCCCCGGAAGAGATTATACTACCTCAGTCTTCTCAGGAAACAACAACTGAATGAAAAACTGCTGGTGACCTTCTACCACTTCATACCTCTGAATGGTTTGCCAATTGCAGATAGGACAGCGCTCCAAAGGGTTAATGTCATTGCCCAGAAGATCATTGGTTGCCCTCTCCCCTCTTTGGAAGAGCTTTATAGCTCCCACTGCCTTAAGAAAGTTCAAAACATCCTCAAAGATCCATCTCATCCTGGGAGCCCTTTTTTTGAACTATTACCATCTGACACACAGTACAGGATAATAAAAACAAGGACAAATAGGCTGAAAAACAGTTTCTATCCCAGGGCAGTAGCTCTGTTGAATTCTACTGTAGAGTGCAGTGTTGGTGTGGTGCATAATTTTAAAAATCATTCTAGAATCATCCGATATTAATTTCAGCAATTTTAGCCAATGGGGCAGCAGAGAAGGTAGGAGGTAGTGAATCTTGATGTGTATAAAAATATGTAAAATTGTCTGTTTAATTGCCTTGGTGCCTCTGCCCAGAAGAGAACTAAGCGTCATCTTTTGCACAAAAGTCAATAAATCCTGGACTTGTTCACAGTGTCTCCTGCCTGTTGTTTTAACTGAGACGTTGGAATCTCATAGTTGGAACGCTGACAAACCCTCTTGTTCGTACTTTTTCCACCTTTCCTTACCTGTGGATTCTCGGATAAGGTGAAACTCTGACGTCTTTCACTCTTTGTTTCTGGATCTTGGTAGGGATGCCCAATTCCTCTGGATTGGTTAACCGCCGCAACTTGATCTCCACCACGGACGCTGTTGTGGTATCCCGGTTGAAGCAAGCTGGTGCGATTCCCCTGGGAGTGACCAACTGCAGCGAGCTGTGCATGTGGTTTGAATCAAGCAACCTTGTCTACGGCCGATCCAACAACCCCTACAACCTTGACTGCATTGTAGGAGGCAGCTCAGGTCAGTAGATCGTGGGTCGCCCCATGTTGTGGTCTGCCGGCAGCCTGCGGAGACGGCGGCAGAGTCGAACAGTGGTGATCTGACCCAACCAGGTTCCCAAAGAGCAAACACAGACAAAGGCAGCTGCCCCCACCTTTTAAGGTTTAATATCAAATTCTGTTCTGAAGGCTGCTTTCCACTAATTAGCTCCGACAAGAAAGAGCCTTGCCAAGTTGTTTGTCAAGGCTGCCAAAAACCCAGAGATAAGAACTATTTTACAATATTCTCCAAACACGAACTAAGATGTCCCCCAGTTGAGCTTCAGAGCTTCTTTGCTGTCTGCAAAGAACGCTTTTCCAAACCTGGCTTTTATCCTCTTGAGGGAGGAGCCATTACCTTGAAAGGCGAAAGCAGAAGCAGTATGTTTCATCCCATAGCGGGGTAGACTAGATTGCCCTGATAGACCGGTCTCACTGGGAAAAAAACACTTATTAAGTTTGAAGTTGCTAGAAAACCCAGGGTTTCTTCTTGAGGTGATTTTGAGAGAGCCCTGGCTCACACAGCATGCTAAACTATCATCAGATTTGTTTTGTCAGTGTGGGTTGTGCAAACCCACCATTGGAGTTTATTTGGTAAGCTGCCCTGCTAAAACAAGTCATGGCAGGAGCCCACTCAGTTAAGTGGATTGGGCAAGGGAGCTTCTCCTTCCCCCATCTAAGTCAGGTTTCTCCAACTTGGCAGCTTTGAAGATGTTGGACTTCAGCTTCTAGAATTCCCCAGCTGGCCATGGATTCTGAGAATGGAAGTCCACATAGCTTAAAAGTTGCCACGTGTGAAAAGTAAAAAAGAAAAAAAAATATTCCTGTAAAAGAAAAATGTAAAAGGATCAACGTATTTCTCTTCTATATGTGTCTCTTCTGTATATCCTTTAAAAAAACCCGGTGAAACATTAACACAGACAGAAGTGCTGACGAGATTAAATCCATTCAGCAGAACTTTAAGCAGGAATCTATTTGAGGATAGTTGTGATGCCGGCTGAGAAGAGAAGCCAGTTAGTGTTAAACAGAGCAGGATGTAGCAACTGCTGAACAAATGATAAGCAAATGATAAATTGTTAAGCATGTCACTATGGCTAGATTGTGAACCCAGGCATAATTTTAAAAATCATCTTAGAATCATCCAATATTAATTTCAACCATTTTAGCCAATGGGGCAGCAGAGAAGGTGGGAGGAGGTGAGTCTTGATGTGTATAAAAATATGTAAAATCGTCTTTTTAAATTGCCTTGGTGCCTCTGCCCAGAAGATGACTTAAATGCTGTCTTTTGCACAAAAGTTAGTAGATCCTGGACTTGTTCACAGTGTCTCTTGTCTGTTGTTTTGGCTGAGACTTTGGGTTCTCACATCATGTTTGAGAAACACTGGCCTAAAGGATTTGTTTGATTGAGGGAAGGACATTAACTACATTTATTAAATTGGGAAACCCTTTATGGACTTTTTGCTGATGGGTTTGATGATTAGAAAGAGTAAACAACGGGAAGTAGAAAATGTATGTGGTAATCTTACAGAGAGGATAACATAAATATGCTTGCCACTGCTTTTAAGAAAATATTGATAACCTGCCCTTCCTTTCTTTTATCTTACTTTCCCCCTTCTCTTCCCTTCCACCGTTCCTTCCCTCCCTTCCCTTCCCTTCCCCTCCTTTTTTCACTTATTTATTGGTTTTTTTAGTGTCCTTTTTCCCCAATATATTGTTTTTATCCTTTTAGAAATTTCTTTAATGAAATTTTGTGTGTGCGTGTGGGGTGTGTGTGGGGTGTGTGTGGGTGCATAAAACAGAAACACTGACCTAAATATTTTTTTATCAGCCAGGTGCGCTTAAAACCTGCTTATAACTCAGCTGTGGCCCTGGATATGCATATTTTTGCAGATAAATAAAAAAAATTAACATAGGCTCTGAAGTTGTTGTCAGTGCCAGAGTAGTATAACTGCTCTTTCCAGAACAGATGTGGCAGACTTGTATCATGCTCTGACTGGTCTTTATTTAGAGTGCCAATCTGGTGTTTGTTTTCACGCAGGAGGTGAAGGTTGCACCCTAGCAGCTGCTGGTTCTTTGATTGGTATCGGCTCAGACATCGGGGGCAGCATCCGTATACCCGCCTTCTTCAATGGGATCTTTGGACACAAGCCCACCACAGGTATTGACTAGTTCTGTGAGGGCGAACCATTTGTGCCGGCACGCAAGCTGCAGGCAAACTTATCTCACTGCCCATGTGCGCTCCTCACAGCTGATTTTCGGCAGGTTTGAGGCCTTTTTCGGCCTCCCAGAGGCTTGAGGAAGGCTTCTGCAGGCTTTGCAGGCCGAAAACTAGCCCCGTTTCATCACTTCCTGTTTTTCCGACAATACCAGAAGTGACGAAATGGGGCTAGTTTTCGGCCTGCAGAAGCCTGCAGAAGCCTTCCTCAAGCTCCTGGGAGGCTGAAAAAGGCCTCAAACCGGCTGAAAAACAGATGTGAGGCGCAGTGCAGGTAAGGGGGCGGCAGGGGTTGGGAGGGTGGGGATTGCACGCGCATGCGTAGGGGGCATGTGGGGGAGCGTGCATTGCCTTCTGGGTGCTGGCATACAAGCGTGAGTGTGCAAGCGCGTGCACAATTTATGGCACAGGAGCCCAAAAAGGTTAGTCACCACTGGACTAGTTATTCCTCCCTAAAAGCAGTTCTAATGACAAGTTTGTGATTAGCAGTAGCATTTAGACTTATATATCACTCCATAGTGCTTTACAGGATTCTCTGACCCATTTACAAATAGTATATAATAGAATAGAATTCTTTATTGGCCAAGTGTGATTGGACACACAAGGAATTCGTCTTTGGTGCATATGCTCTCGGTGTACATGAAAGAAAAAATAAAACACATTAATTAAGAGTCAGAAGATACAACACTTAGTGATAGTCATAGGTAAGCAATCAAATCATACTAAGGAACAAATAAAACAATATAAATTGTAAAGATACAAGCAACAGGGTTATAGTTATAAGTTGGAAGAGATAGATAATAGGAAGGATGAGAAGAATAGTAATACAGTCTTACTAAATAGTTTGACGGTGTTATGGGAGTTAGTTGTTTAGCAGAGTGATCTTGCCCTCAACAATCTGGGTCATTTTATCGCCCTCAGAAGGATGGAAGACTTGAGTCTACCTTGAGCCAGTCAGGATCAAACTGCTGGCAGTGGGCAGAGTTTGCCTGCAATATTGCATTCTAACCACTGTGCCACCAGGGCTCCTAATAGCAATAGCACTTAGACTTATATACTGCTTCACAGTGCTTTACAGCCCTCTCTAAGCGATTTACAGAGTCAGCCTCTTGCCTCCGACAACATGGGTCCTCATTTTACCGACCTTGGAAGAGGATGGAAGGTTGAGTCAATAGTGAGCCGGTTAGGATCGAACTCCTGGCTGTGGGCAGAGTTTGCCTGCAATATTGCATTCTAACCACTGCGGCCTCATGGCTCTTGTTCAGTTGCTAAGTCATGTCCAACTCTGAAACCCGATGGACTATAGCACACCAGGCCCTCCTGTCCTCCATTGCCTACCAGAGTTGGCCCAAATTATGTCCACTGCATCAGTGACACTATCTAACCATCTCATCCTCTGTCGTTTCTTTCTCCTTTGGCCTTCCATCTTTCCCAACATCAGGGCCTTCTCCAGTGAGTTCTCTCTTCTCATTAGGTGGCCAAAGAATCTGAGCTTCAGCTGTCCTTCAAAAGAACAGCCAGTGTTGTCTTCCTTTCTAACTACAAGAGCCAGCAACATTTTTCTCATTTTAAAAAATGTGACGATAACATACCCGCTCTCATAAAAAAAAGCATCAGAGATTGTATAATGAAGAAACAATGCATACATTACAGGGATTAAAATAAATTAAAGAAGGGAGAGAAAAAGAAACTAAGAAAAAAGTTTGAATTAATAATATTTTTACATTAATAACATTACTAACATTAATTCAGTCCATGCCAGCCACATGACCACGGAGACGTCTTCGGACAAGCGCTGGCTCTTCGGCTTTGTAATGGAGATCAGCACTGCCCCCTAGAGCCAGAAACAACTAGCACATACGTGCGAGGGGAACCTTTACTTTTACCTTGACCTTACCTAATTGAATCATGCTTCTCCCCTTCAGTCTGATTATTCCTTCAGTCTGATTATTCCTGCGGTGAACTGAAAGTTGATTGACTTCCAATTGATCGTTGGCCATAGAGGGGAGAATTTTTTTGACTTCCCTATCTTTAAACAGTCACAAGACGATCAAATTGTTTGTTTTGAAGATATTGGAATTGTAATGATTTTTTTTTTAAAAAAACACCATTTGGGTGTTTTCATATACATTTTAAATCACTGTGAAACCTAGAAGACTTGGCAGTATAAAAATATATTGAAGGAAAAAAATAATAACGAAAATGTCATGTAAGGCTCTGCAGTGCTTAATGTTTGAAGAGACACTGGTAAAGGCATGAATATGGCCCCTGTCTGGGACTCCTTAAAATAGACAGGAATCATAGGGTTGGAAGGAACCCTAGATATCGTCTACTCCAACCCCCTGCCCAAAACAGGACAGGGGTCCTTCTATTATCCTGAATTAATGGTTATGAAATCTTTTCTTGAAAACTTCCAGTGATGGAGCATTCGCAACCCTGGGAGGCAAACTGTTCCATTGATTAATTGTTCCTGCTGTCAGATAATTTCTCCTTACTTAGATTGTATCTCTCTTTAAAAAGCATCCACTTGTTACTTCCTCTCCTGCCCTCAAGTGCTTTGGAGTCATAGCTTCTCTATGATAGTTCTTCAAGTATTGGAAGATGGCTATCCTATGTCATCCCTCAGCCTTCTCTTCATCAGGCTAAACGTATCTATTGGTACGATTGGTCATTGTACAGTTTAGCCTCCAGGTCCCTTATAATTTTTGTTGCTCTTCTCTGCACCGTTTTTAAGACCCGAGTATCTTTTATTTTAGGGACGCGGTGCTCAGGGGCTAAGACGCTGAGCTTGTCAATCAGAAAGGTCAGCTGTTCGAATCCCTGGCGCTGTGTAACGGAGTAAGTTCCCGTTATTTGTCCCAGCTTCTGCCAACCTAGCAGTTCGAAAGCACGTAAAAAATGCAAGTAGAAAAATAGGACCACCGTTCTGTGCGCCTTTGGCATTTAGTCATGCCGGCTACTTGACCACGGAGACGTCTTCGGACAGCGCTGGCTCTCTTTGGCTTTGTAACGGAGATGAGCACCGCCCCCTAGAGCCGGAAACGACTAGCACATGTGTGCAAAGGGAACCTTTACCTTTTTATCTTTTTTGTATCGTGGTAACCAGAATTGGATGCAGTATTCAAAGTGTGGCCTCACTAGTGCAGTGTGGAGTGGTACCATCACTTCTCATCATCTTAACGCTTAATCCCTCTTTTGATGCAGCCTAGGACTGCACTGGCTTTTTAGGCAGCTGTAGCACACTGCTGGCTCATACTTATATACTTATCCACCACTGTGTCTTTTCCAAAGATTGCACAATGGCATTTGATCTGAGGAGTTGCAATGGAGGAAGAAAGCACTGAAAGAAGTAAAAAGATACAGTACAGAGAAACAACAAAGGCCAATGTGGGGGGGGGAAAGATTAATTTGGCAGTTTGGGAAAACGTATTGTTTTTTCACTATGAAAACAACAACAGTGTGAAAAAGGACACACTGTAGTGAACTTGCAACATGCAAATAGCAATTCTTGTGAGAGTTCAAAATCATTCAGGGAAAGTCTGCAGAAAAATAGCTCTGAGGTTTAGAAACAGACAAAGAAATGATGTATGAAATTGTTATTCTATCTGTCCCTTAAATCCAAGTGTTGTGGACAAAAATGTTGCTGGAATAAGCATGAGAATGATTTGTGAGGAAGTTTCACATGGTTAACATGTGCCTTTTATGCTTATTTGTATAGCAAACAAGAAGGAGAAAGAGGAAGTCCCGGTAATTTAAAAATAAATAAATAACAAAAGCATGGCGTTGCACCTTTTAATTCATTATTAATTAATGATTCATTGATTAAACAATTGCATTTCATTTAAGGTGTTGCAGCAGATGCTAGGAACTCAACTCAAAAGGCATTTGGTTTGAATCAGAACTATTGCACACTTATACTCTGAAACATGACATTTATGAATGTTATTATTTATGAATTTTTTAAAAATTAATATTAATAATTAAAATTATTATTAATGAAAGGAATGATCCTATGTAGATGGCGGGGGGAAGAGGTGAAAAGAAATTTACACCCCTAATGTCTGTAGGGTTTTTTAAAAAAATATTCTTTATCCATATTTTCAAATGCCTTTATATTGTAAAAATGAGACGAAGCAAGACGTCTCTCTCTTGGTCTAGAATTAATCAAGTGTTAAAGGGTTGAGCTAATGCTATATTAAAATAACATGGGCGTTTTTTGCTTCTTTGCTTTACTAATCAATATGATGCATGGTTTTAATTGCATCCTCTCTGTTAGATGATGATGATTACATTTTATATATTACATCTCACCAAATATACAGGTAGTCCTCAACTTACAAACCTCAATTGAGCAATAGCACTTAGACTTATATACCACTTCACAATACTTTACAGCCCTCTCTAAGCAGTTTACAGAGTCAGCCTCTTGCCCCCAACAATCTGGGTCCTCATTTTACTCACCATGGAGGGATGGAAGGCTGAATTAACCTTGAGCCAGTGAGGATCGAACTGCTAGCAGTTAGCAGAATTACCCTGCAATACTACATTCTAACCACTGTGCCACCACAGCTTAGATAGCAAGAGCATTTAGACTTGTATACCACTTCACAGTGCTTTACAGCCCTCTCTAAGCAGTTTACAGAGTCAGCCTCTTGCCCCCAACAATTTGGCTCCTCATTTTTCTGACCTCAGAAGGATGGAAGGCTGAGTCAACCTTGAGCCTGGTGGGATTCGAACTGCCAAATTGCATGCACCTGGCAGTCCTCAGAAATAGCCTGCAGTACTGCACTCTAACCACTGTGCAACTGTGGCTCAACCATCCTAATTTTTGTTGTTAAGCAAGGCAGCTGTTAAGTTGTTACTCAACAAATGGTTACTAAACAAGCCATGGTTAGTGGAAGACAACCTAGGAAAGGAAGCAACTGTGAATGCCAGACTAGGAGAAAGGTGGCTTGTTGTGCAGGACTGAACTCTGCTTCGGTGGGTTTATGTAGGTGTGGTGCCCAATGACGGTCAGTTTCCTGATGCGGTTGGGAATCGTACAAACTTCCTGTGCACTGGACCTATGTGTCGCTATGCGGAAGACATGGAACTCCTGCTGAGAGTCATGGCTGGACCAAACATTTCCAAGTAGGTGGCTTTGGTTCATTTGTAGTAGAGGTAGTCCTAGGCTTAACAACCATTTATTTAGCAACTGTTCGAAGTTACAATAAGAAAAGTGACCTACCACCAATGGTCATGTGATCAACGCTCAGGTGTTTGGTCACAGGCATGTATTCATGATGGCTGCAGCGTTCCTGGGACATTGACGCTCCCTGCCAGTTTCCCACAAACAGTGTCATTGGGGAAGCCAGCTGGAAGTCAAAAGTCATCCCCACCTCCACTGCCTCTTTTGCCGAGTCATTCTGTTTCTCTGTTTAGGTAACTAAGTATTGACTTGTTATTAAAGTTCATTTGCCAATACCATCTTTTATTTATGACGTGTACTCTTCTTAGGGATGTGGCGGCTCAGTGGCTAAGATGCTGAGCTTGTCGATCAGAAAGGTCGGCAGTTTGGTGGTTCGAATCCCTAGCACCCAGTAACGGAGTGAGCTCCCGTTCCTTGTCCCAGCTTCTACCAAACTAGCAGTT